AGAGGAGGAGGAGGAGGAGGAGAAGGAGGAGGAGGAGGAGGAGGAGGAGGAGGACCTCCCCATCCTCCCTTCTCCCCCGTCCAACCCATGGCAGTGGCGGTGGAAGATTGGCCCACCGGACTTGTCGTTTCGGGCGCGCCCCGATCGCAGTCCGGCTGTGCGGGCGGCCCGACGGGCGCTCGCAGCGTCGGCGGGGCGCCGCGGGCAGCGCGCGCGCTCGCTGTGGGCTGCTGCATTCGGCGTGTCCCGCGGCAGCCGGCGATGCCCAACGTGCCGACGGAGCGTCTTGTCAGGCTGCCAGGTGCCGGATATCAGAGGAGGAATCTATGCCGATATCGTGGCAGGTAATTCTCGAAGAAGAAAAAACGCCATACACGGAAACTTTTGGCGCGCCGCGTGGATTTCTTGGATCCGCGCTGCGCCCCCGGCGGCGCCCCTGGCGCGCTCTGCGCGTCGGGGAGGGGGGCCCAGCGCAGATCCAAGAAATCCGCGCGGAGCGCCCAAAGTTTATGCTTATTGGATTTTGTTCTTCTTCGACCTTCGCCACACCATGCGACCATCCGGAAGAGATGTGGTTTCGTCGGCGCGTGTTCGAGCTGGGTCGCGGGCGGTGTGCGCCATAGCTCGCAGGTTGGCCGAGTCGTGCCCTCGTTGTGCTTGTCCACGCGCAGGGAGCACTTGGCATCGCTGGGATGTTTTCATTTTTGCTCGGCGAGGACAATCGAGGAACATCTTGGACCATCTCGCGGAAAATGAAGCACGAAGCCGAAACATGCACGGGGAATGGTGACCGTTTTCTTATTCATTGTTTTGCCGATCGGCGCGTGCCCTCGCATCCCCCCCCCCTCCCCCCTGGAGTAGATCTTGGCTGTTTTTGGCGCCCGTTTCAGGCAGGTGGAGTCCCTCCCCCATGGGACGCACGGTTGCAAACGGTCGCGCTGAGCAGAGGTCCAGAGCCAGACCCCTTCCTCCCCCCCCCCTTCCGCCCAGTGTCGAAACGCCGAGTAAGCAAACGCTCACATGGACGTTCGCGAGCGACGGCAAGAAAGAGCCAGGCAGAGCACGGCTGGATCCGCCTCGAAGTCCTGGTCGGAGCTCGCCCCGCGAGCGGCCCGGGGAGCATCGGCGTCGGCTTCTCCTCGATGCCCCGGGGCAGGGGCCAGACAGCTGCTGTGATGCGATGTGTGAGTACGGTAGGTTTGCGTCGTGTCGACCAGCGGCGACCCCAGCGCGGGCGTTCAAGGTTGAACGCCGCCGGCGACCCAGAATCGATCGATGTTGAACGATTGGACGTTGCGGTAGGGATTGGTTTCCACCCAAACTACGAAAATCCATTCAAAACTTTTCCGAGACCTCCAGAAAGCCTCCCGTAACCCTTCCAGGAGGGTTTTCGGAGGGTTTCGGGAGGGTTTTGTCGGTTTTGAAAGGAAGCCAGTCCTTAGCGAACCCTGGACTTTCTAAATCTAGCGGCGATGTATCGCCGCTGGCAGGTCGATGCGACGTCCCCATGCCAGTCCCCCCCCCCCTATCGTTGCCCTCAGTAGCGGGGAGACCAGCCAGGCCTGTCGCGGGGGTGCGCAAGAGCAGCCGAGAGGGGTGGGCGGAGGGGGACTCGCCCGCCGTGCATGGGGCATGGCCGCCCCGTCTTCGGCAGGGCCTTGCGCAGGTACCCTCGCCACGATGCCTCGGTCATCGCCTTGTCAGAGGAGTGTCGGAATAATCGGTCGCAGGCTAGAGGTTGACACCAACACCAAGATCGGCGGTGTGCCTCCACCGAGGGAAGACGATCCTGATCTCGGTGATGGTGTTAATATTCTGGCTTCTAAGGTGACCGAAATATTACCACCAACACCGAAATCTAGGATCATCTTCCCCATGTGGAGGCCACCCCCTGTGCTGGTGTTGGTGCCCATTTCCAGGCCTCCCAAATCGGGGGACGTCAACTGACCACCTCGTTGAGGTGGTCAGTTGGCGCTCCCCGAAGCAGAGAGTGACCAGACAGACGCCCTGCGTTGTCCGAGAGGTACCCCGCCAACCACTATTGGGAGGTGTCGTCTATCGTGTGGCCCTTATCACGTTTTAACGATTTCTTCTGCAGTAGCAGTGTCATATGTCGTCTGGCTTATTGGCTTATTGGCTTAACTGCTGGCGGACTCCCAACTTTTGTAATTCTGGTGCAGGGGCCTACAGGCCACCATTTGCGATGCCCCTTCTGCTGGTGGACGCGCGGCAGGCATAATATTGGTCTAGAACGAACCGTGCGTCTGGTACAGGTGCCGACTGATTTTTGGAGCCGCTTATCGGTTCACGGCGAAATCATATGATGCCAACACCTACTGTCGACGACAGCTCGTAGCGGCTGATCCTGGTGAATTGCTCTGTAGGGCGAGTCGCAGTCCGGTCTGTTTGCTTTTGGAGCGTGACAGGGGTAATGAGCGACAGTCACGTCCTACTCTGCCCCTGTCACGAGGGCGTCGGACGCGGCGGCGCCCCCGAGCAGGTGCCGATCCGGTCCAGCAAGGTCTGGACTCCTGACGTCACGGTGATGAACGAGGCGCCGCCGAGGGGGCCACCCCAAAAGAGGAGGCGGAGGAGGAGGAGGAGGAGAAGGAAGAGGATGAGAAAGAGGAGGAGGAGGAGGAGGAGGAGGAAGAGGAGGGAGGAGGAGGATGAGGGGGAGAAGGAACGATGATGATGATGATGATGATGATGATGATGATGATGATGATGATGATGATGATGATGCTGATGATGATGATGATGATGATGGTTGGTGTGGTGGTGGTGGTGGTGATGATGATGATGATGATGAGGAGGAGGAGGAGGAGGAGGAGGAGGAGGAGGAGGAGGAGGAGGAGGAGGAGGAGGAGGAGGAGGAGGAGGAGGAGGAGGAGGAGGAGGAGCGAGGAGGAGGCGGAGGAGGAGGAGGAGGAGCGAGGAGGAGCGAGGAGGAGGCGGAGGAGGGGTCGACCCAAGGGCGGAAAGGTGCCCGCGCTTTGCAAGCCCCTGGGTGGCGCGCACGCGGGGGGCGGCGCGAGGGGAGGGCGGCGTTCTATAAGAAGGGGGGTTGCCAGCAAGAGTGCACGGGGCTTCCTTGAGGCCTTCCTCAGGCGATCGCAAACATGGATCAAGGGGGCGTGGATTAGCGACACGTCCCGTTTCCGTGGGGAATCGCGGATTTCCGCCGCCGAACGAGGCGGCACCGGTCGCATTTTGGGGAGGGCACCTTCCCCGATCCATGGATGAGTCGACCGCGCGCCCAATCCATGGATCGCTGATCCATGTTTGCGCGCCCCCGACTTCCGGGTTTCGAAGACGCCTTTTAAAGAGCTTCCTGGCCCTTCCAGGAATGCCCCCACCCTGTAAGACATTTTTCTGGCCTCCCAGCAGTCGCTCCTCGATCCATGGGGGCTTCTCGCCACGCCAGGAGACCCCCTGCCCCTTCTGCTCCTGATCCTGCGCATCCACTCTTCTTTCTCCTCTTCCCCCTGCGTCTCCTCTTCTTCCTCCTCCCACTCCTCTCCTCAGTCCGCGCGCGCTTCATAGATGCGTGCACTTGGAGAGTGCTTGCGTTCTAACTTCGTTAATGGGCTGCTCAGCCCCTCGCTCGCTCTGGACCTCAGGCGTTAGAAGCGCACAGTGCACCCACGCGCCGCGTTACGGTCGGACTGGATCATACGTATGAGTACACGCCTGTCGTTGGAAGTAGGTATTCTTGGATTTCCAGATCCCAGATCTGTTTGAGGCGCCTTTCTACTGCAATGATCGATCTGCTTTGCTGTGTTTGTCATTCTCTGGGCGGGCCCGGGTCCAATCTACTTTATCCGCCTTCCTACTTCCTGCTATTACAGTCGGGACTTTGAAGAAGGAACCCTTCTCGTTGCGGAGGGGCTCGATGTTCCTTGATTGTTGTACAGTTTGCCTTAGCTTTTCCTGAGGTCTTCCTTGGGACATCGACGGTTTAACTTATGGGAAAAAGGGGCCTCGTTCCTTATTTAGGGTTTCTTAAGTCAAAACCCCGACAGCATTTACTTCTTCCGACCGAGGTGTAGCGATGGGCCATGGGCATCAGCTTCAGCTTCAATCTGGGCGTCCGAGGGCCTCTTGCATCCTTGCCGCGCATCCTTGCGATCCTGGTCGCGCTGCATGCCACTCTGCAGTCAAGACGCTGACCCAAGAAACAGCTGGGGTTCGGAAGGGGCTTGCTGTTACTTAGGTTCTTCCATGGCTACTCATCCAGCGCTCCTCGTGCACCCAGGCGCTCTCTTGGACCCACGAGGGGCTCCGCTCCTCATTTGGCGCTCGTTGTAGTAGCTTGACTGTACCTGGAGCCTCGCTCAGGGCCCAATTCGATCCAGTCGGTCCGATCAGGTATCGGTTCTGGCCCGTCCGATCCGATTCGATCCCGGCATTCTTGCGATTTGATGCGGCCCGATGCCTGCGTGGCGCTGCTGTGCATCCCAGCGCGGCCGATCCGGTTCGGTCTCGATCCCGTGCCGATGCATGACGATTCGACGCATCCTGATGATCTGGTCGCGTGGTGTGCGCCGCGCGAGTCGCCTCGGGTTAGAGGCGGCCGGCGCGCTCGTTCGTGGGAGGAGGAGGAGGAGGAGGAGGAGGAGGAGGAGGAGGAGGAGGAGGATGAGCAGGAGCAAGAGCATGAGGAGGAGGAGGAGGAGGAGGAGGAGGAGGAGGAGACGGAGGCGGAGGAGGGGGGAACAAGAGGAGGAGGAGGAGCAGGAGGAGGAGGAGGAGATGGTGGAGGATGAGGATGAGGAGGAGGATGAGGAGGTGGAGGAGGAGGAGGAGGAGGAGAAGGAGAAGGAGGAGGAGGAGGAGGAGGAGGAGGAGGAGGATCTTGCAAGGCCTGACTGACCCGGGTCTGGATTGACCCAGGTCAGAAGAGCCCCGAGGCACAAGCAGAGCACTTTGGGGGGTGCGCGCGGATTTCTTGGATCGGCGATGGGCCCCCTGGCGGCGTCTCTGGCGCCGCCCCTGACGCGCTCCGCGCGCTGGGGAGGGTGATCCAGCGCTGATCCAAGAAATCGCCCCGGGGAGGGTGATCCAGCGCTGATCCAAGAATTTGCGCGGATACGAAAAGTTCAGAATCAGTAGTCCTCATTGTTCGGCGGAGCGCGAGGGGGGGAAGTGGGAAAGGGCGGGCCTTCCCAGACGGCACCGCCGCCTTCTGGGAAGGCCTTCTCCTTCTCACCTTGCCCCCCTCGCTCGCCGCCGAATGTGGTTTTTGGATCATAACTCGGATCTCTGCGAGGCGCAGCCGCTGCAACGCATCCCGAGGCTGGAAACCCTTTGAGTGCCGACGAAAACGTCCGAACACCTAGAACCTCGATCTCGAAATCTCCTCTCCTCGCTCGCCGCTCAATTATGGGTGCCTCATGGCGCTTCATCGCCCCCGCGAGTGTACTTCCCAGGAGCTGCCTCTCCCACGGTGTAGGCTCTCGTGCTGCCTTCTTCTCGGCGGCGGCCCCCAGCGCTGGCGTCGAACATGTGGAGCCACCGCCAGCGGCCCAGCATCGGCCAAGACGGAACGATCGGGCGATCGAGAGGCCGCCGCTCGTTGCATGTTGACCGAGCTGCACGGCGTCAGAAAACCACCACCCAAGAAACCACTCCTGACCCAACCCGAAGGCCCAAATGTGCCCTCCATTTCCAGTGGTGGGGTGTCTGGGAACCTTGGAAAACACACGTGGAACACGCATCCTCCCCCCAAACCCGAAGCTTGGGTCTTCGGGTCAGGCTGGGGTGGCTCGGCAGGGAGCCAGAAGCCAACGCCGAGGTCGCCACGGCCCGATCCCGCCGTAACAGGTCGGAGGCCTCGGCAAGCTTCTGGACACCAGGCACAGCTCGCCCCTGCTGCTCTCGGACGACAGCTTCAAGAACGAGACCGGCGTCAACGTCCTGTGGTCGAGGCGGGCCCTCGCCACAGGAGCTCGTCATTCGGTGTGCGCTGCCGTCGCCGCGGCTGCTGGTCCTTTTCCATGTCCCCTTGGTCTCCCGATCGGATCGCCCCGCGCTGTTGGAATGGGGAGGAGGAGGGAGGAGGAGGGAGGAGCAGGAGGGGGGGGAAGGAGGGGGAATATCTGACAGACCTTCTTGCTGTCGGGACGGTAGAGGGGTAAGAGAAGGATGAGAAGGTAGAGGGGGAAAGTGGGAAAAAGGGAGAGGTAGAGCTCCAGGAGGAGCAAAAAGAGGAGGAGACGGAGGAGAAGGTAGATTAGGAGAGGAGGAGGAGGAGGAGGAGGAGGAGGAGGAGGAGGAGGAGGAGGAGGAGGAGGAGGGAGGAGGAGGAGGAGAGGAGGAGGAGGAGGAGGAGGGGAGGAGGAGGAGGAGGAGGAGGAGGAGGAGGAGGAGGAGGAGGAGGAGGAGGAGGAGGAGGAGGAGGACCAGCGTAAACCCAGGATGCGTCCACGATGCTGCAAGGCACCCTCCCGTCACTAGTTCCCCCCTTGATCAGATCCTAGAGGCACGTGCTCTCATTCCAAGAAGCGCTCCCTGGAACGTCGAGCACCCCACGGCCCTGCCACTCAGGAGAGATTCCCGTCTCGAGACGGAGCTGCGCTGCATCCCTCCAGCGAGCTAAGATCAGTATCGTTTAACCGACCCCCATCCTCATCCTCATCCCCTTCGAGACCTTCACCAAATTACCAACCCAGTTGGGGATACACCCCTCGAAACCCAAAGGGAATGGCCTACATTCCCAAAGGGAATGGCTAATATTCCCCAAAGGGAAAGGGGGTCAATCGGCCACTGGGGCCCAGGCCACGCTGCTGGGGATCGGATAAACGATGCTCATAAAACCAAACAAATTAATGGAGGATCACACCGCTTGGCATGGTGTCCAACGAGCGCACAGGGGTCGAAGACGAGCACAGAGCCAAGCGCAGAGACCCTCTGGGCTGACCCGACGAGCACAGAGACCGAAGACGAGATGGACCGACGCCGTGCTGACATGTATCTGAGTGTCCGGAGCCGAGGCTCCGCCGCGCCTCCCGAGCAGGGGCGGCCTCTGGGCCAGCGGGCGCCCGCGCGCGCGTGTGTCGGAGCCGCCCTCCACCCTTGTAATTGCTGTAAGCTCTGAAGGCGAAGGTACGCGGCGCTAGGGCGAGAGTCGCATTTCCAGCACATCCAGCCCTCCTACCTTGGACGCTGCAGGGAACCCTAAGACGAACGTGCGCGGCGCTGAGGCGAGAGCCATATCTTGGAAACGGCCGGCCAAGCCCTCCTTCCGTGAAGCTGTTGCAGGCGTTTCAGACGAGCCTGCTGGTGGTACAGTGGAGACCCATGCCCAGAACCACCTTGCTTGCCTCCAGGGTGCCCTGGGTTTATTGGGTTGCGATGGTTCTGCTATGGGAAGCGTGATCTTCCCACAAGAATTCAATGGACGTCCTGGGGTCTCAGGGTTGGGTTTCCTGTGGAACAGTTCTTGTGGATTGGCCTGCACTATAGAGGGGGTGTGTTACGCGTAAGGAAGAGTGAGGGACGAGGGGCGGCTCAGAAAACAGAACGCTGGGGGCCACGGTGCAGCCGAGGCGGCCCCTGGGTGCACTCCAGAGGGGAAGGCGGAGCCAGATGGGGAGCAGGAGGAGGAGGAGGAGAAGGAGGAGGAGAAGGAGGAGGAGGAGGAGGAGGAGGTTTGGGGTCCCCAAACGGTGTGGTGACAGACCCAGCGGTGACCTCGCCATCCGCAAAAGACCTCACCGCAGGGTCCCCTCCCTCAGCATAGCGGCTGTCCGAGCTGGCATGCACCCCACGACGGGCAAGAAGCTCGTCTAAATTTGGAGGGCCCTCGTGCCCAATGTTTGGCCCGTGCTCCCGTCTCTCAGTTGCACGACTGGTCATCGGCGTTTCCTTGATTCTCTGCCTGGGCCTTGGGCGGGGATGGATCCATAGGAAGGCTCTAGGAGGGCTTGGGAGTTTGGGAGGGTTTCTGGAGAGTTTACTTAGGAGGGCGTACGAGGGCTTAGGAGGTTCCATGTAGCAGGGTGTAGGAGGGTTTGGGAGGGTTCAGGGGGATCTCGTATGACTTAGGAGGGTCTAGGAAGGTTCAGGAGGGTTAAGGAGGATTTAGGGAGGTTTAGAGTATGATCAGGAAGCACCACCACGGGGATCGACCCTGCAGGATCTTTCCAGGCCTCCTGTATGGGTCCGGGCAGATGGGGTCGGAGGATCGCGCCACATCGTCGATGCATCGGCGATGCAGCTCGATGCGGGGCCCGATGTTCTCCATGCCGGCGTCGCCGATGCAGCGCCGATGCATCACCGATGCATCGGCGATGCGGCGCGATCCTCCGACCCCATCTACTCGGACCCCATCTGGAAGGCCTCTGATCTTGGCTGGCGGTGGTTGTGGGCAGGTTCGGGCCCTGGGGGGCCAGGTGTGCTCAGGAGGGGAAAACACACAGACACAATGAATCGTCGATCCCAAGGAAGAAACCAAACCCCAGAAGATGTATAAAGTGTTGGGAATCCTGGGATGTGTGTGTGTGTGTATTTAGTTGTGTGTTCTTGGGCCCCTCTAGAGACACGGGGTCGACTGCGCGGACATGCGCGCGTAAGTTCTCCAGGTAAGGTCGCGCGTAAGCGCCCGCTTCTTCCACGCGGTGTGCCGGCCCGCGTGAGCCGCGGCGTGAGGTCGTTTTTGTTGGGGGGTGTAGGGCTCGTGTATCTGGGTCGCCCAAACGTATCCATATCCACCGCCTGCCGACGTCCCCGAATATGATGCCCCGGGTGCTGGGTATGGATAAATCCCACCCTCGCATCTGACCCCCCCCCAACTTGGAGGCCGATTGACGTGGTCAGCAACTGCGAGGTCGACATGACGCAGTACCCCTTCGACGAGCAGAGGCGCCCAGCGGCGCGCCTCCGAAAAAGTCAGCGCTGCCGTCGAAGACGAGCCAACGCACGCCAGGAAGCTGCCTGGGCACTGCGGGGCATGGAGCTCGAGGGGCGGGGGACTGGGGAGGGGTATGGGTGTTGGGATGAGGAGAGCTGGCGCGGTGGGGACGTTTGTTTAGCGTGCCCAGTAGGCCTCATACCCTGGCGGATTCCTTATCTAATGACGGCGGCGGTGATATCCATGGCCAAGCTTCAATTTGTTTCCCACGGGTGTCCAAGGGCTCCTCGTCCAATGTCCTTGCCGCACCGTCGCCATTTTGGCTCAAGCCGCTCTTTTCTGTTCGCTCTCGTTTTGGGCCCCGCGGGAGGTCGCAGAGACTCAACAGCTTGGGGGATGGCTGCGGTCGGTGGCCGAGTCGCCCTCGCGGCGGCTGATCCGCCTTGGCAGGCGGGAGCGCCCTCGGCGTCCCTCTGGCCAGCGCGTGGGGCCCGCAGGGCCGCGGCGCGAGCGGCGGTCGGGGGGAGGCTGGCCGCTGCCCCGCAGAGAGTCGCTTGCCTCGAGAGCGAGCTCGCCGCGCGTGAGGCCAGCCATGTGGCGGCGGCGGCGCAGGCTCTGCAGCTGTCCCGTGACCACGGTGCCCTCGACCCCCAGCCCGACGTGCAGCTCCTCGGCGAGACCACGGCGCGGCTGGCGCTGGCAGTCCCCGTGCATTTGGAGTGGAAGTGATCGCGGGCCCGCAGCGCGCGCGGCCTCCCGCCTCTGTACCCCCTATCCTCCCTCTGGTCGCGAAGGAGGAGCTGCGGGGGTGCAGCCCGGCGACGCGGCGCTGGCGGCAGCAGCCAGCTCCACCCAGGACGCCTCCCTGGGCAGGCCCTCCGTCGGCGTGCCAGGTGCCGAGGCGGCCATCGGCACGAGCGCTGGCGCCGCCGCACACGCGGACGCGCAGGGCGGCGAGCAGACGGGCGGAGGCGGGCTCACGCGGGTTCCTGGGAGTAGCTCCGCTGCGCGCCAGAGGGGAGCTGCGGCCCCGCCTCCCCTGCTCCGCTCTCGGCGCAACGCGGGGCTCCACTGCGCTTCGCGTAGGGCCGCGTGCATCGCGTCGATGCGGCAGGACTCCTCCAACAGGCTGCAGCGAGCGACCTGGGCGCCAGGCCGCCCGCTGCCGCGACGCGAGGCAGGCCGTTCTCGCCCCGCCGAGGCAGCACCGCCGCCAGCCCTCGCTTCGCCGCCGCCAGGAGGAGCAGGGAAACAGAGGAGAGGAGGAGGAGGAGGAGGGGGAGGAGGAGGAGGAGGAGGAGGAGGAGGAGGAGGAGGAGGAGGAGGAGGAGGAGGAGGCGCTTGGGAGGTGGCTGAGCGGCGACGCGGTGTGGCGGTCCCCGCTGGAGCTAGGTTCGCCTTGGCCGAGCGGGTCTGAGGTGCGGGGCCCGCTCCCGCGCCCTCTCTTGGGCACGGCCCCGTTTGGTGGACTTCCGGCCTGGAGCTGGCGGGGAGGGGTGCTTCCCCACGGGCCGTTGGCGAAAGCCCGCCTGTCGTCGCGGAGGGTCAGGCCATTGGCGACGACAGCCAGCAGGGAGATGAGGTTGAGATGTAGGAGCAGTTCGCCGGCAGCGGCCTCGATGAAGTCGGCACCCAGGACGATCGCGTGAGCGTCGGCGCGCAGGCGCACGTGGGCGTGCATGTCGACAAGGACGTGGGGGTCGTGATGCAGGAGAGGTTCGTTGGCGGCGGCCTCGTCGAGGTCGGCACCCGGGCCGATTTCGGCGGCGTCGGCGCGCAGGCGCGCGTGGGCGTGCATGTCGAGAATGGAGGGGGCGCGGAGGTCCTGATGCAGGGGCGGTCAGTTGGCGGCGACCTCGAGAGCGTCGGCGCCCAGGCGATCGTGGGCGCGCACCTCGAAGAGGACGAGGAGGTGTTGATGCAGGAGCGGTTCGTGGGCGGCGGCCGTGGCGAGGCCGGCGTCCTGGCCGATTTCGAGAGTGTCGGCGTGCAGGCGAACGAGGGTATGCATCTCGAGAAGGGCAGCGAGCAGGCGGCCCAGAGGACGGGGGCCTGCCCCACTGGTCGCCCGCGGCGACTCCAGAGGCAGGTGGTGTCGGGGGCCCCTTCGCTCACCATGGACCGCGATCTCAGGGGGCCCGGGTGGCAGCGCGACTGTTTCTCAGCACCAGCAGTTGTTCGACCGACGGGGCGGGAGTTGGTGCTAGGGAGACGGTGGCTGAGAGAGCAGTGGGGCCCAGGCTCCGATTGGGGCGTCTGGAGAGAGAGTCGGTGGCGGGGCAGCCGTGAGGCCAAGAGAGCTGCCCGAAGAAGAAGGCGGTGCCGTTGAGCCTCGTACCTGGTGGTGCTGAGGCTAACCGCCAGGAGCCCAGTCCCCAGCTTGCCGTGGGCAATGCGTTGCACCGTAGAAGTGTGCCGCCATCCGTGTTGCCCGCCCCAGTTTTCTCTTGTGCGAGGGGGTCTGGCGTTCAGACATCAAACTTGGCCCCAGGCTCGGAACGTGGGAGGTGCCCAACTCCGCCGCGCCCCGAGCGCGCGAGCATCGGCTCCTTCCGTGCTCCAGGAGGAGGGAGGAGGGAGGAGCAGGAGGAGCACGTATTGAGACGGAGGGATGGGGGTGGATGGCGGAGGGGATTTCGGGGGGCATCTCGGGCTTCTCCCACGGCGTCCCGTCCCGTCTGCTGCTGCCTCTGCTGGCACGCCTACGGACGAACCTGCTCCCCGCAATTTGAGGGGAGGGTCTTCTAGATTCTAGATTGACCCTAGAACGTCTCAAACTTCCTCGCATCGTGATAGATCACGGCGGACGGTGTTTGACACTCTTCGCGGTCCAGGGAGCTTCTTCGGGGCCCGGGGCGGTCAACGAGCGGCTCGGGATAGAAGGCCCGTCTCGGGGAAGCGGTCTAACCCCCCAGGGGCTTCCGCTGCGAGCAGAGATCACGACGTCGGCGGTCTGGTCGGGCAGGCACTCGACCCGGTGAAATCGCCCCAGAGCGTTCTGGAGCGCTCGCATAGCGTTCCAGAACGCACTGGAACGGCCGCAGCTCCCGATACTACGTCCCTCCAGAACCGCCGGATCTCAGAATTTTCCCCTATTTATCCTCGTCCGATTTTGTCCCTGTCCTGGCTTCGTCTTATATGGGGCCGAGGCCACCTCTGTCCACCATTTCAAGGCCGAGCGCATCAGGCAGCCCAGGAGAGAGGAGGAGGAGGAGGAGGAGGAGGAGGAGGAGGAGGAGGAGGAGAGGGGGAGAAGTGGAACGAGGAGGAGGGGGAGGAGGAGGAGGAGAGGAGAGGAGGAGAGGGAAGAGGAGGAGAAGGAGGAGGGGGAGGAGAGGGGGGAGGTGGAGATTGAGGAGGAGGGAGGAGGAGGAGGAGGAGGAGGAGGAGGAGGAGGAGGAGGAGGAGGAGGTGGAGGGAGGAGGAGGAGGAGGAGGGGGAGGAGGAGGAGCGGAGGAGCGAGGAGGAGCGAAGAGCAGCGAGGAGGAGGAGGAGGAGGAGAGGAGGAGGAGGAGGAGGAGGAGGAGGAGGAGGAGGGAGGAAGGAGGAGGGGAGGACGAGGAGGAGGAGGAGGGGGAGCGAAGAGGAGCGAGGAACATGAGGAGGAGGACCAGTGTAAACCCAAGAGTCCCCAACGATGTTGGAATTGAGCCCTCCCCCCAATCTTCCTTTTCAGATGCCCCTACAACGGTTCACGTCCACAGAGGGACCTGCCTCGTTGGAAGACAACCGTTTGAAGACCCTGAAGCATGCCAAAACATTATTCTCGGTATTCCAACGCCACGGATGAATTTGAGTATTGCGTCTTGACGGATCTGAGTCGTATCAGAACACCATTCCTGGGACCTCAACTCCGCGAATCATCGTGAGTGCTGCGCCCTCAAAATCGCGAATCCTTTCAACATGCCATTTTTGGTACGTCGGTACGTCGACCATGGGAACCCGTGAAACTCTTGCAATGTTGTGTCAATAATGTGCGCGGCGCTAGGACGAGAGCCACATTTTGAAAACGACCCGCCCTCAATCCGTGAAGCTCTTGCAAATGTTAAGAACGAGTGTGCGCGGCGCTAAGGCGAGAGCCACATTTTGAAGACGACCCGCCCACAATCCGTGAAGCGCTGACAAATTTTAGAACGAATGTGTGCGGCGCTAAGGCGAGAGCCACATTTTGAAAACGGCCCGCCCTCAATCAGTGAAGATCTTGCAAAATTTTGAAACGAATATGCGCGGCGCTAAGGCAAGAGCCATATGTTGAAAACCACCCGCCTTCCATCTGTGAAATTGTTGTCAATCTTTAAGCTTCAGGGTCATAAATGGTGAGGAAGTCTCCAGCGAAACGCCCGGCCCGCCCTAAAAACTTGCCTCGGGGTGCGACAGGGAGGAGTTATGTTTAAGGAGGAGGAAGAGGAGGAGGAAGAGGAGGAGGAGGAAGAGGAGGAGGAGGAGGAAGAGGAGGAGGAGGAGGAGGTGTCCAAGGCCCTCCTTCGCTGCCTCGCTTTTTCGGTCTCGGCCTCCCCGCTTTCCACCAGAGCTCCTCCTCGCCTCTCGCCGCCCGCCTTCCCCTGGCGGCGGTGCGCAGGTGCTACGTCGAGATTGGTTCCTTGGCGCGGGGGCTGTGCAGCCGCTGCGTGCTGGATGTGGAGCCAGAAGGATCAGAGGAGGAACAGGTACCCATACCGCTTCCCTTCCCTCGTTTCCCCCTTCTTCGCCCTCCTGGCAGGTTCTCGTCGCCACCGTTGCATTCGCCTCGAAATGCTTGTCAGAACGCGCCCCAGGAGAGGCCCGGGGATTAGCTGCATCGGTACCTTATGGTTTCCCCAGAGGAGGCAGGCGCAACATTTCAAGGCGAGGGCTGCCAGGAAGCTGGACGCGCACAACGCGGCCAGCCTAGGCGAGCGCTGAAGCGACACGTGGCCGCATGCCTGTCCAGCGCTCGGCCTTCGGCAAGGCCCGGCTCGGTGATCATCCGCCTGCGTCTCCAGTGGAGTGGCCTCCGCATGTTCCGCAGCCGGCTCCTTCCCTTGCGCGGCCGCCGTCGTCTTCGTCTCCCCCTCCTGCACGCCGGACAATTTGCCCGTCGGTTGCCCCGATTCGCCCCGCGCTGGTGCGGACTGCCTCTGCCTCGCCGCCGACGAGACAGGTTCCGCAGCTGGATCCAGCCATCCGAACAATGTGAATCCAGCCATCTGGAACCAGCCTCCTGGTGCAACATCGTACGCAGGGAGGCTGGCCCAATCAGGTCTGGCCGACTCTGCGACCCCCCGGAGGGGAGGGCCGATTCGCACGGGTAGGGCTCGCGGAGCGCTTCCATCTGGCAGTGCTGCTGCCGCAGGGTGGAGGTTTTCTCCGAAGGGCTTAGGCGACCCCTCCTCCCTTCTCCTCCTCCTCCTCTTCCTTCCTCTCCTCCTTCCTCCTCCTCCTCCTCCTCCCCCCTCCTCCTCCCTCCTCCTCCTTCCTCCTCCTCCTCCCCTTCCTCCTCCTCCTCCTTCCTCCTCCTCCTCCATCCTTCCTCCTCCTCCTCCTCCTCCTCCTCCTCCTCCTCTCCTCCCCCTCCTCCTCAGGCTGGCTTCGTGTGGCAGGACTTCTGGCCCGAAGGCCGAGCCACCCGAGCGGAGAGCATCGACTTCGCTTCGGGCACGGCACCAGGGAGCCTGCGAGCACCAGGCGGCTGGACGCGCATGGCGTGGCCGGCCCAGGCGAGAGCCGGATACGCGTGCGGCCAGATGTCCTTTCCACGCGCGGCCCTCCCGTGGCCAGGGGCGCACACCAGGGCTTCCGCAAATGCGCGTCCAGGGCTTGGCCTCTGGCTGTCCTGGACGTTGAAAACCTGGCAACAGTGAGCCCGCATGGTAAGGATGGGCAGCCTTCCCAAGGGTACCGATGCATCCTTGCCTCCTCGGTCCCTCCTTGGCCACCTTCGTTTGCCGCGTCGCTCGAAAAGCTTCGAAATGGGCGTCCAAGGCCCTTGCGTTCTCATCGCGCACCCTTGCTAAACGGGTTGACTGTACGCGGGCCTCCAGCTTACAGGTAGTTGGAGAGACGGGCCTCAGACCAAGCTGGGGCACCAAGATAAGCGCGCTTCGCGCGTCGCGGCCGGAGCCGCTGAGCTGACCTTCTCCAGGGAGCGCTGCGAGTGCGTGAAGAGGGCCGCGCGTGGCGCATCTTTCTGTTCCTCCTCCCCATGCGACGCCAGGACGGATGCAGGCCTGGGCGGTTTGGGCGCTTAGTTGCGCAGGTGTCTTTCTTCAGGTGGCCGGCTATGTCAACCAGGCGCATCTGCTCCTCGTGGGGCGCGACCGCGCGGGGTGGTGGGAGCGCAGCCAGAGAAACGCCAACTACTGGATGCGCTGTCTGGATACAGCATGCGCCCGGGGAGCGGTGCGGGGAACCCGAGGCTGTCTCAGGTGGGGCGAACTAGGGTTGATGGAGATCTCCCTCGAAAGGGGGAATTGAACGGTGCTCCTGTTCCTTCAGTCCGTCCCCGATTGCCTACCTTGCAGGGAAGGGCGGAGGAGGGCGCGGGGCTCTGTCGCGCGATGATGACAGAGAGCAAGGTGGGGGCAGCGTCAAGTTTATGTCTTTGGCAGTCCTGGCGACCTGTGCTCGCGAGAGTCACGCGCGCCGCGATGGCCTCGCCTGAGGCGGCGGGCGCACTTATCTCTGAGCGCGGGATCGGCCTAGGTCCGACGAGCCCTGAGCGCAGTTATCTCTGAGAGCATTTATCTCTGGTCTAGGTCCGGCGAGCCCAGGCCAGACGTCCTCCAAGAACATGGGACCCTCCGCCCTCCAAAACACAGAGAACATCTCCAGGGGTACCTCCCCCAGGGTGCACAAGAACATCCAACAAACACGAAAAGCATCAGGCAGGGTACCCTCCCCGAGCCGACCTCGATCTTGCACCCCGGTCCGACTGTGCGCGAGGGTCCGAGTTTTCTGATCGGTTCGGCCCGTGCTTGTTCGACTCGGGAGTGCTGTGCGGACGCCCGCGGAGGGAGAGGCCGGGGCGGAGGGCGCGGGTCCCGCGGAGCCTGCGAGCGGGCGGGCCCGCGCCAGGCTCGTGGGCCTCGTCGCTGCGCCAGATGAGCCTGGTGGTGCAGCCGTTCTTCAAGGAGCGCGAGGTGCATACCCATACTCGAGGCGTTCCAAAAAGGGCCCTGCTTTCGAGGATCGCAGGAGTTGTCATCTCTGCCTCAGCGGAAGGCGGCGGAAGGGTGGCGGAAGGGCGGCGGAAGTCAAGCGAGGCCGCCTCCGCCAGCGAAGGCGGCGCGAGCTCGGCGGAAGGCGGCGAAAGTAAAAGTCGGCCTCCCAAGAGATGGAAACGTTTTTGGGTTCAGGGTTTCTGGAGCTTTTGTACTCCCGAAATGGGTACGGAAACAATGGGCACAATGCCCAACAACAAATGTTGTCCCAAACCAACAGCGGCCGCTGTTGGGCAGGCGGCTTTCTGTCTCAAGTGGACACAGGCCGCGGCGGCGCGGACAGCGAATCCGGTTCAAAATGATCAGGAACTGATGTTGGGCATTGTACCCATTCTTTCCGTACCCATTTCGTTCGTGCTGAGAGTCGGTCACCTGGTGATCGTTTTCTGATTCACTGTTTTGCCGAGCGCCGAGCGGCGCGGGCCTTCGCGCCCCCTCCCCGCCCCCATGGAGCAGAATTGGAAGCTGGTGTCGGCGCCGGAATGCAAGCAGGGGGAGGCTCCCCCGTGGGACGCACTGGTCCAAACAGTGGCATCGAGCAGAGGTCCGGAGCCAGACTCCCCTCCCCGCCCACCCTTGCCGCCCGATATGATGTCGAGACGCGGAATACGAAAACGTCCGACGGCGGTCCAGACCTCTGGCTGGATTCTCATCGAGACTCCCCCTGAGATCCTGGCGTCCCAGCCGTCTCGAGCCGGGCGCCTTCGCCCGGCTTCGGGCCTCGGGGCCCTCGCGGACCGATCTGGCCCGAGAAGTGGCGCAGCAAGATCTGGTCTGGGGCTCTGGTCGCGATTTTTCCCGATGTTGCACTTGCACCGTAGGAGCTCGACCACCAGAGACCTTCCACAAGAAGCCCAACCCTGAGGCCCCGGGACGTCCATCGATATCTGGTGTGGGGGCGTCACGCTTTCCATCGCAAAGCCACCGAAACCCAAGACACCCAGGGCACCCTGGAGGCAAGCAGGGCGCTTCTTGGCATGGGCTGCCACTGTAATTACCCTGCCCTCGTCGCCACGACCTCGCTCGCTTCGAATTCTGTTCAGAACGCACCACTGCATGCAGGTCCGGAGGACTAGCAGCATCGCCACCTTTCTTTCGGCGGCGCGTCCGAGAGGGGAAAGACAGGGGGCAGGTCTGCTCCGACGGCGGCGAGGCTTCTCAAAGCCCTCGGCCTTCCGAGAAGCTAGGACTGCTCCCTTGGCATGGGCTTCCACTGCCCCACCCTCCCCCTCAGAAATCGTGGGGGGTAGGGGTAGGGTTCGCATGTGGCCCCCTACCTGCAGCGACCCAGATCTCCGACGACTAGCGTTTGACACTCCGACGACGTGTTCTTCCTCTCTCGCGGGGCCGGCCTCCGCGCGGGCCCGGGCTGCCCCCCGTCGGGCCGGCGCAGCTCCTCTCTCTCTTTTTGTCTCCTCCTGCTCCCTTCTCCTCGTCCTCCTCGCCCTCCTCCTCCTCCTCCTCCTCCTCCTCCTCCTCTGCCCTCCCCTCCTCCTCCTGCGTCCTCCTCGTCCTCCTTTTCCTCCTCCTCCTCCTCCTCCTCCTCCTCCTACTCCTCTGTCCTCCTCCTCCTACTCCTCTGTCCTCCTCCTCCTCTCCTCCTTTCTCCTCCTCCTCCTCTTTCCTTCGCCACCTCCTCCTCTCCTCCTTTCTCCTCCTCCTCCTTCTCCTCCTCCTCTTTCCTTCGCCACCTCCTCCTCCTCTTTCCTGTCCGCCGCTCCGGTTTTACCACATCAGTGGTGCTGCGCCGCTTCACATGCTGGCGGCCTGTTGCAGCGGTGCTGTCCGCGAATGGCCTGGCCTCCTCTGTTTCGGCGGGAGGCGCTGCCCAGATGTCATCAGTCTGTACTGTTTCGCATTTCTGCCGTCTTGTTTGCTCTTCCCGGGAGGGCCAGTTGTGCGAGTGTCGTGGCCCGAGCCCGAGGGCGTAATTTCAGCGGAAGCCCATGCCAAGAATCGCCCTGCTTGCCTCCAGGGTGCCCTGGGTTTCTTGGGATTCGATGGCTTTGCGATGGAAGGCGCGACGTTCCCACACCAGAAATCGATAGACGTCCTGGGGTCTCAGGTCCGTTTTTTGTGGAAGATTTCTTTTGGTCGAGCTCTTGCTGTACCCACGCACGGTTCTTTGGTGTGCCTCTTTCCCTCCTTCTCGTCCTTCCTCGTTGCCTTCCTAAGGTTGCTTTGCTGGGTCACATTAGTGCTCAATTTGCCAGAGCCCCCGTTCTCCAATGGTGCAGAATGATCTGGACTGCTACGCGGCGTCCCGACCTGACTCTCGTCTCACACGCCGAGCTGTTGACGCTTTGGGAGCTGTCTAGGCCTCTTGAGGGCACGTCCCAGAACAAGTTCCAGGGGTCGATCTCTCGGGCTGTCCTGAGTTTGAAGCGTGCTGGGTGGCGAGCTGAAGGAGGACCGATCTCTTGGATCGGTCACAACGGTTTGCGAGTTGACCTGTCTGCGACACCCCCTGCGCTCTTGGCTGATCAGGAAGCCGGACTGCAAAGAGAGCGGGAATTTGATTTTGCTCGAAAGATGGATTCCCCCCAGGGACCAGGGCCTCCCTTGACCTGGTTCGGGACGCCGTGGGACCAACAGCTGGACAACTCACTCGATTTCAAACATATCTTATCAAGAGCTGCAGTTGCGGTGGACTGTGGACCAACGATCGTGCCATGCGTGCGGGTTACTTGTGTGACGGGTTGTGTGAGTGTGGAGCGCAGGACACAGTCCACCACAGGTTCTACTGCTGCCAACTCCAGAGAGTTGTAGAAGCGCGTGCGGCGTCTGAGGTGCCTGCTTCATACCTCACCGCTGCGCGCGAGAATCCCGACAACCCCATCGTCACTAGAGGGGTGCATGTGTAAAATGACAGCGCGCTTCCTTGCCCATCTACGTCGTCTGAGGTGTTTCTCTATGACGGGCAAGGAAACGAGCTCGACATGGAGCCCGAATCGATCGCTGATCGGGTATCCCAGGCCTCGCTGCGCTTAGTTTCCGACGGTTCGAGCACTACGCCTTGGATTCGGCCTTTGCAGCGTGCGGCCTGGGCAGTAGCTGTATGCCCAGATGTTGGCGAGGACCCCGTGGCGGTGGTCAAAGGCATCGTCCCAGGAGTGCTGCCGCAGACGCCTGCAATGGCAGAGCACTGCGACGCGTCCGACTGTTTTGGGTGCAGACTGTCAGGCCGCGATCAGAGTGTGTCAAATTCATGTTAGTGATCAGCAGTTCCTGTCCAGAAGTTTGCGGGCATTTGTGTATCAGATTGAAGGCACGGCGCTGATCCAGACAGTACGACAGGTCAAGGCCCATCGTGATGAGGTTGACATCCAGGGCCTCGAAGGTGAGGAAAAGGTTTCTGCTGTTGCCAATGCTGTTGCATATCGATATGCCAAAAATGGTCTCAGCATGCACCCAGCCCCAGCGCCAGAGTTCACAAATGAGCTGTTGTCTGGCGGGCGAGAAAGCTGGGAAGTTCATCAAGCTTGCAGCACATGTTCTCCCATGTTTTGAAACAGGGCAGGTGGGCACGGCCTCACCGCATCAGCGCCCCGAGGTGACGGCGACAAGTGTCGCGGCGTGTTTGGGAAAATAATGATATCGGGCTGCAATGCAGGAGCTGTTTCAGAGTTGCTGAAGGCAGCCTCGAGACCGTCGAGATGGACGGATGCCGAGGACTGCCGCCGTTCCTTCGAAGTCTGCTCCGCGATCCCATAGGACATAAGCTTGTCGCCATGACTGGGCAGAGCCGAAAAACTCGTGTGCTCCTAGAGTCGTGTCGACCATCGTCCAAGGAGCAGATAATATGCCTGCGCTGCGGGGGTTGGTCCCAGGGGAGGGGTTAAAGCTCGGCCGTCCGTGTGAGGCTCCGTCACGTATGGCTGAGCTCAGGAAGGGAACCTGCCCGAATCCAAGAGTTCGGGCAGCTCTGGGTCGTGCGGTTCCTCTCGGTATGCTTGGCCTCTCCGCCGTCCCTCCGGTACCAGACGCTCCGACGGTAGTCAGGACTTCGCACTCTTGTTCCCTGACTGCCCCCTCCTATGCGCAGCGTGTGCCAGTCCTGTGTGAGAGGATTCGTCTCAAGCAGCATGCCGCATAGGCCGATTCCAGAAGCGAAGTTATGTGCAGAGCTTGTGGCTGTGGCCGTAACGGCACAGTTTATTGCGCCAAGGCAATCCCCCGCCGCTGGTTGCCGGTTCGTCCGAGGCCCGCGCGCGGCGGCGTCGCGCCCCCCCTGCCTGGTTGCTGGTTCGTCCGGGGCTGTCGCAGGGCGGGCTGCGCGCCTGTGCTCGCGGGTAGCGTCGGAGGCAGTGGCCCCGTGGTTGGGCGTACGCACAGCGTCCGTGCTGCTTTTGATCATATTAGTGCTGTGCACTCCCCCTTTCGGGTCTTCCGTTCCGTTCCGTTCCTCCTCCTCCTCCTCCTTCTCCTCCTCCTCCTCCTTCTCCTCCTCCTCCTCCTCCTCCTCCTCCTCCTCCTTCCTCCCCACCGCCTCCTCCTCCTGCTGCTCCTCCTCCTCCGTTTCCTCCTCGCCCCTCCTCGCCCCTCCTCGTTTCCTTGCTCCGCCCTCTCCTTTCTCCCTCCAGCTCGCAGGGGTCGTCGGCGAGCACGACAGGAAGGCCCCGTGCGCGGCTGCCCTGCGTATCCTCCGCCCGTTTTTCGTGGAAGTGGTTGCGTCTCTGGGCCCCTCGAGGGCCCCAGCGGGTGCCGCCTGGCTTCCTGTGTGTGCAGGACATTCGGAGGAGGAGCCTAGGCCTCAAGCAGCCGTCAGTCGGCCCGAGCTCGACATGCGTTGCCGGTGATGAAAACCCAGACCTCCTCGCGTTCGTATAAAAATCACGGCGGAAGGTTTTCGCGATTTTCACCCGCCGGGGGCCCTTCCCGGGCCTCGGGAAACGACTCGGGATGAATAGCCAGTCCCAGGGAAGGGGTCCAGACCTCAGTGGGTCGACGCTGTGAACAAATCACGACGTCGGGGGTCTGGGATATATGAGCGGGGAGCTACCCTACTCGTGCTCCCATCGTCGTTCGTTCTTCGGGAGCAAGTCTCTTGGCGTTTTTCTCGATCTCGGCTGCTTTCGGGCTCGTCGTCGGGCGCACAGGGGCCATCAAAAGTGGACCCAGGACGAAAGTGCCCCCAGGGATGCGGTCGGGACCTCTGGGGCCGCGGAGTGAACCAATGAGATCTGCGGATGTCAGGGGACCACCTGCTAGGGGAACGAACAATGACATGAACATTAAAACTCGGAGGTCCGCGCGGATTTCTCGGACCCGCGCTGGACCCCCCTGGCGGCGCCTCCGGCGCCGCTTCTGGCGCGCTCCGCGCGCCAGGGAGGGGGGTCAAGCGCCGATCCGAGAAATTCGCGCGGACCTCCGAGTTTTCATGTTTTGTCATTGGGTGTTCCCCTACTTGCGAGCCCTGCCCTTGCGGGTCCAAACAGGGCTGGGCTGTGGGGATCCCCGCGGGGGTGCGTTTGAGTGCAGGCGCCGTGCAAGTTCTGAGCCCCCAGGGGGATCTGGCCTGCGGGGGTGGGGCCCACATCTGGTTGCCTAGCGCAGCCGCAGGGAGGAAGAATCGGCGTGCGCATCGTCAAACTTGGCAGCTGCGCCGTGCATACGGCCAGAGCCTGGTGCAAGTGTCATGGTGTCCATGGTCGTTGTCGCCGTGTCGTGGCGCCAGCGCCCTGCCAGTGCACAGTGCTCTTGACGAGCACGGGCGATCTTGCCATGGCTTACAGGGGCTGAAAAGTGCGACAACGCGGCGGTGAGCGCTGACCGTGGTGATCATGACGGCGACGTAGCTCCAGCATCGTCAGACCTATCCGCACTCCAAGTGGGCCAGCGTTCCTTAGCGCCACCAGTCTGCCAACTCGAGGTGGGGATGACTGCCGCTAGATCCTGCGGAGACGGCGTCTATCCGTACCTAGGGGGTCGGCCGGGCGGCGGGGTCGATGCTTGCCTGGTGGGGACGGGGTAGGCCGACTGGGATCGGCTCGGGGTTGCGACGGGCATAGTGGGTCATCGTTGGATTCCAGGGTGGGCTATGCGTGGCCCAACCTAGCTTAGCGGTGGGTGACACATGCCCCAAGTGGCTTATGGGAGCCCCCCCCCTTCCGCCCAGTGTGGAAACGCCGGTTAAACACATGTTTACGGGGCCCAAGACCTACCAAAACGTCCGAGAACCTAAACCCTTTGTACCCCCCGCGCCCATCCTAGCAACGATGCCGAGATCGACCAGAAAACAAACGACACCACCCCGCCTGCGGCCCTCCATGTTGCGCTACGGCCCCTCGGGGGCCGCTGCGAATACCACGCACAAAAACCGACGCCAGATCTCCTGGCATACGCTAAGGCCCCTGGGGCCGTAGGTGGGGTGGTGTCGTTTGTTCTCTGTCGGCGCCACCCGAACATACTAATACTATGTGTGCGTCGCCCCCAAGAAGGTCGACGTGCGCGCCGAGAAATCTTATAGTATATGCTCCCTATCGGTCGCTTCCTGGCCGTACCACTCGGGAAACGGTCTACTACAAGATTGGCCTACTCTATGTCTGGCGCGGACGCACGCCTCCGAGGAGGACGTGTAGTACTAGTATGTCTCTGTGCGTCCCATTCTGGTCCGTGAGAGGTGCACAGCCCCGAGTTCCGCGTGAAGAACATCACCGTCCAGACGAAGGCCCGGCCAGCTTCGGCCGCGCGCGGGGGGCGCGCGGCAGGCTTGCGCTGCGCTGGCGCGGCGGCGACTCCGGCGCGGGCGCTCCTTGGCGGCGGCCACGTGGGGGTGGCGCGAGGCCTCCAAGCCTCCAGGAGGCGGCCCCAAAAGGCCAAAATCGTAAGTCGCCCCGGAGGCCTCCGAGAGGGCCCCAAGACGGCCTATATTGGCGGCGAGCGAGGGGGGGAATTGAGAAGGGGCGGGCCTTCTCAGAAGGCTCGGAAGTTCCCCGGCCTTCTGAGAAGCTTCCGAAGCCTTCGCCGAAGACACAGAAGACCTCCCAGAAGGCGCGAGGGCTTCTGAGGAGTCCCGCCGCCTTCTGAGACTCCTCCCTCCTCCTCCTCCTCCTCCTCCTCCTCCTCCTCCTCCTCCTCTCCTCCTCCTCCTCCTCCCCTCCTCTCTCCTCCTCCTCCTCCTCCTCCTCCTCTGAGTCTCACTTCCCCCTCGCTCGCCGCCGACTATAGGGAGAAAGGCTAGAATTCTGCGCGCGTGCGCGCACTCGCTGGGATCATCAGGGACCGCCGCCTCCTCAGCAGGTCTGCCGCAGCAAGCCACGGGGGCCCCACGCGCGCGCGCATGTCGAGCTCGTTGGGCGGACACCGCGCGAATGCGGGCTGGGAGTGCAGGGGATGCCCTTCGAAGCCAGGGTTAGGAATCCTAACCCTGGCTTCGAAGGGCATCCCCTGCACTCTCAGGAGAGCATCCCCTAACCCTGGCTTCGAAGGGCATCCCCTCCACTTAATCCTAACTTAGGATTAAGTCGGGCATGCCCCTCTACAGGAGAGATATTCAAACATAGTCAGCGCATAGTATGGAGAAGATGTTTCAGTATTCTTTGAATATTTTAGATCTCTTGTTGGGGCTATTTTCTAGTTTTCGTCCAACATCCGCCTGTAGGGGGACATGCCCGACCTAAGGCTAGGATATTCCAATTTTTTTTTTGCCCTGATCACCAGAGAGCATTTCGGGCACCAGGGAAGTCTGGGTGCTCGAAATGATTTCTGGGATGCCGTCCTTGAGTGCGACGAGGGCAACACAGAGCCAGGGGCCTTCGAAGAGGGGCCTGGAGGCTCCTGGTAAGCCTTGCGAGAGGCCGTTGGTTCTTTGAATTCAGACACTTGCTTTTTTTGGGGGGGAATTCACGAAACAGGTTTATTTGGACTCAAGCACTGGTTTTTGGAATCCATAGAATCCGCCCCTCCGAAGAAGGACCCTCGCCCTGTTGGCAGGCCGCCCCCTCGCGCCACCACCCTCTGGGCGACGCCAGGCTTCGGGTGGAACGCCGCCGGGGCTCGGCCTGGAGCCGGCCGGCATCGAGCGACTGTCGGCTACTCGTACTCGTCGGTCGCTGAAAGCACACATGGCTCAGTTTTTAATGATTCGGAAGTTCTGTATTTTTTTTTGGGGGGGGGGCAGGATCCTTTCATTTCTAATTCTTCTATCCTGGGCCTCTTCCTGGTCACTAGGGGGCCAGGAACAGTTAGAAACGAGCACAATCAGAAATGAACACGATTAGGAATGAACGACGTGTAAGTGTTTTTGGATTCCCACTTCCACCCAATGAGAAGTACGCAATGGTCGTTGAAAAGATGTATGTTTCTTGGTTCCCAGATTCTAATCTACATTCAGCGCCTTCCTACTTCCACGATCGAGTGGCTGTACCTTTTCCGTCCGCCCAAACGGGGCGGACGGAACCCAATTTACTTTCAACGCCTTCCTGCTTCATGCTTCTAGCTACTTCTTCCGACCGATGCCACAGTGGTCCCCCGAGCGCTGTCTCGCGCGCTTGGCTTTTGGCCCCCCGCGGCACCCTGAAGCCGCGCACCAGAGGCCACTCTTGCCTAGGGTCACTCTTGCGTGTAGCCGAGACCTGTCGCTGTCGTCGGGCAGGGCCAGGACGTCTGGAACCACTGGCGACACCAATTCTGATCATCCTTTGCCGCTCTACACTTCGTGGCCTTGGTGGGCCTTTTCGGCGCGGCTGAAGAATTTTGGTGTGAAACCTGGGCGAAGTCGGGCCATGTGTTCCGTGCCCGCAGAAGTCAAAACGTGGGCGCGCGGTTCCCCAGAGCACTCAACTGCTTCCTGGCAATTGATACTCCGTTCCAGAGCGTTCTGGAACACTCAGAGAAGGCCGCGGCGCCCGACACATCCCTCATCACCGTCGGATCTCAGAGATTCTCGATTTATCCTCGTCCGAATCTGTCCTCGTCCTGGCCTCGTCTGAGGTCGGGCGATCCG